GTATTTCTCGGTACTATTCACATAATATTCATCACTATTGACAGACTTAACGACTAAATGGTGTGTAAATGATAATTACAATTACTATTAGTGAACACAACGTATAGTGAACTGAATGGGGACTCAATGAATGCACGGATCAATTGATGGCAATTGAAAGGCAACGCAAACTTTGAATGTCTGAACGGATTGTCTGTACAATCAATACATCAAATGAATTGCTGTTCACTCGACACTCATTGCCAAACCAATAGTGTTGAGTGTATTATAATTGTAATCACAAGTGAATTATCAGTTCATTAGACACACAGACAGACAGTGAGACTATGAGGAGACGTGAAAATCGACACATATTTTTGAAAATTCATTACATTTTCGCATTTATTTTACACTTTGTTTTCCCCATTCAAGTCAATCGGTGTTGTGTTGAACATAAGTCACGGCAATAATTACGACAATTCCCCTCAATAATCATACCCCTAATTATAACTTTATGTCATTTGATTTCAACTTGTTAGAATTGCTACAGTAACCTTTTTCAATTACTATTTTTACCTTGCTTACGTTATAATTAGTTTGTTTTAAATTGATTTTGCTAGTTTTATACACGTAATATTTTTATTTTTGTTACAATAAGTTATTTAATTGGGGAAAAGTGTTACATTAATTAAAACATTTCGTATAATATTATTAATAGGAAAACTTTTTTTTGGTTTTTAAAATAAACTTACGACAATTTATCTAACTTTAAGACTTTTATAAAGTAGTTTTGTAAAAATAGTATAATTCCGTGGCTTATATTGTGTATGAATGCATTCAATGAATATTCAAATTCTTTAAATTTTGATTCAATTAAAATTCATTAATAATTTTATGAACCATTTTTTGTAAACATTTTTATGACTGCATAAACTGATCGCTATTTTATAGGAAACCTATGGGAATATTATAACTTTTATATCATGTGATAGTTTATGGCTGTTTTCATTATTGATTGCATCGGAAATATTGTATAAATAAGGAAACAATGCATAAAAAGTGCCGTACAATAGCAGCAAACACCGTATGTATGCTATAAATAAACTGATCATGGGCAAATCATTGCAATTTTACTATGTTATCATAATAGTAAATGGCTATGAATAGCATACAGTTTTCCTATTGGAATATTGGAAATCATAGCTTTCATAGCCATAGATGTGAAACTTGTTCAGTGAAATGCAAAAGTTTATAACAAATCAATAGTGAATAACGTGTCATAAAAGTACTATACAATGAGTGCCCCTTTAGCTGTCAACATAATAAACTAATGCATGGAAACAAAGCGAAAACACTATCAGTGCTTACATTGTGAACGTAATAACTGTACAAATATTAGCGAAAGAGAGAGAGAGAGAGAGCGAGAGAGAGAGATATAGAGAGAGAGAGAGAGAGAGAGAGTCAGAGAGAGAGAGAGAGAGAGAGAGTCCGCCCTTTGGAAGCGATTCATGTTTTTGTACGGATTTCCTAAGAATTGAATGCAATCTCACTCTCAATAGAGTCTCCACACCAGTGATAGTGAGTTAGCGTCTCAACAAATGTTGTGCCGTTTTGTTTCACTACTCAATGAGACGAGAAATGATCGCTTATTATGTATTTGTTTGATTCAATTGAATGCTATATTTAATCATTTCATGACATATACACAGTAACGCCATAAACACTGATTATTTACGACATTATGATTATGTGACTATCATTTGTACACTAATTGCTAGTTATATACAAATTATTGTTTCGTTTTATTTACCCATTTGTGTGCGAAATATATGCCAAACACTACTCGCAGGCCATTGAATATCATTAGTGAACACAAAAGTATTGGCCATTCATTTGATGCATTCATTTGGCTATTGAGTCCGAAGTACTTGTGTTGACACATACCTCCCGAGGAAGGGATCGCTTGTTATTTATTTTTGTGGTCAGTATTCGTGTCTCATATGACACCCAATCCCTGTGCCATTCACTACATCCCCACGCATTTCAATGGCTATTGTTTTGGACACTCTATCCATACATATGTCTCATATGACTGGTTGTCAATGTCTGCCACTAATTGTCTCTTTGTTTCACTCGACACAGACATTATAGCCATTGTATCAGCGGATCAGTTGCCGAGTAGATAGCAGTGTGGGTGCGATGGAAGCGATCGCAAAGCATGACTTCAACGCCACCGCCGATGACGAGCTTAGCTTCAGGAGAGGCGAAGTGCTTAAGGTATGCGCCGATTGGGCCACCAATTGATCGTCGCATTGATTGACACTCGTGTCTGTGTGATGAACAGGTGCTCAACATGGAGGACGACACCAATTGGTTTAGGGCTGAGTTGGACGGCCGCGAAGGACTCATTCCCAGCAATTATATCGAAATGAAAGCTCACGAGTAATGCATATATCAGTGACGAGCCATTGATTATGTCATTTGCGTTCAAATTGTCTTTTATAGTCATTTTGAATGTCTTTTGATATGATTTGATGGTTTATAAGACAAACTCATTTGATTAACGCTATGCTTCTCCCCCTCTCGGCCACCGCGATATCCCGTTCTCCGTCGACAACCGGACAGTTGGTATTACGGGCGCATAACGCGAGCGGATGCCGAGAAACTGTTGCTGAACAAACACGAGGGCGCCTTTCTCATCAGGGTCAGCGAGAGCTCACCCGGTGACTTCTCACTATCCGTCAAGTAATGCCATACACATGATACCGGTAATTACCCCGGGTGTAACACTCCCTGTGCCCCCCATATACGTAAATTGAACGGTTCCTGCGATACCGTCCCAACCGATTAGTTTGTATTGAGTTTGTGACCTATTGTTATACACCCGGAGTAATGGCTATTTGTTGCATTGATAATGAGTGCTAATGTATGGCGTGTCTGATCCCATGTGATGGCCCGACAGGTGTGGCGATGGTGTGCAGCACTTCAAAGTGTTGAGGGATACGATCGGGAAGTTCTTCCTATGGGTCGTGAAGTTTAATTCGCTGAACGAATTGGTCGAATACCACAGATCGGCGTCTGTGAGCCGTTCCCAAGACATTAAGCTCAAGGATATGCATCCCGAAGAAGTAAGTGATGGCTTAGACATAGTTGGTATTACGGGCGCATAACGCGAGCGGATGCCGAGAAACTGTTGCTGAACAAACACGAGGGCGCCTTTCTCATCAGGGTCAGCGAGAGCTCACCCGGTGACTTCTCACTATCCGTCAAGTAATGTCATACACATGATACCGGTAATTACCCCGGGTGTAACACTCCCTGTGCCCCCCATATACGTAAATTGAACGGTTCCTAAGATACCGTCCCAACCGATTAGTTTGCATTGAGTTTGTGACCTATTGTGTACACCCGGAGTAATGGCTATTTGTTGCATTGATAATGAGTGCTAATGTATGGCGTGTCTGTGTGTCTGATCCCATGTGATCGACAGGTGCGGCGATGGTGTGCAGCACTTCAAAGTGTTGAGGGATACGATCGGGAAGTTCTTCTTATGGGTCGTGAAGTTTAATTCGCTGAACGAATTGGTCGAATACCACAGATCGGCGTCTGTGAGCCGTTCCCAAGACATTAAGCTCAAGGATATGCATCCCGAAGAAGTAAGTGATGGCTTAGACATTGCTGTCGACTCTCAGATGGTATTCAACTCTCTGTTGTTTCGCTTGTTTTCTATACTTTTGCTCTCTTTTTCATTCAATTTTAAAGGCTTTAAACATAAGCATCGGTTAGGGTTTGAATGCTTGAACGCACACAATTGTGGCTCACATTTGGCTTTTAATAACTGTTTTTAATGCTCTTTAATCTCTGACTTGACTCTAAAACTGGATTTTCACTGAAAGCCAACATCTCTTTGTGTTGTTGTGATAGAAAATTAATAGTCATTTGATTAATGATTAATGGATTTGATTTGTTTCGATACAAATAACGAGATTTTATTTGCATTTAATATATATTTATCTAATATTAAGCTTTAATTTGGACTCATTTTACTGATGGAAATGTTAATAAAATGTCTGTTTTTGCTAAAATTGAATTTCATTTCTCAATAAAACTAAAATTGCTTTCGTTTTAACGCTTTTAACACTTATTTACTAACATTTATAGACTTTAATCGTTTGCTTCGTTTTTATATTCACCGTATTGTCTGACCAGTGATTACATGCAATACTAACCTTTAAAAAGTGGACTAATTGTCAACCATTCTATGATTGATACAACTCTACATTACTGTAAAATAAAAACTGTTATAACTTTGCATGTAATCGGAGGGTCGGGTGAATCGGTGCACAAAATGATTGTATGGTTGAGTGTATTGTCATAACTGAATGTTTGCTTTGACTGTAGTTTTTGGTTCAAGCGATGTATGACTTCCAACCCCAAGAGCCGGGGGAACTGGAGTTCAAGAGAGGCAACATAATTACGGTAATCGATCGCTCGGACCAGAACTGGTGGGAGGGGGAGATCGGCACCAGACGGGGCTACTTCCCGGCCACCTATGCCCTCCCATATCACGCCTAAACACGCCATCGAATCGCCGATTCTTATGTCAAATATTATTAAATATACTTTTGTTTCGTTGAAATTATTTTGACCACATTTGAGAGACAAACGACTCACTGATTGGATGATAATATAAGCAATGAATCGATTGTCGTTTGGCTTTTCATTGAATTTATTTTCTGATAAGTAATTAATAATTAGTTTTTTCATTAAATGAATGCAAAACTGTTTTGACAGCAAATGACTGTCTGTTTGTCGCAATCAATTCATCTCAAAGTTATGCCTCATATTTGATGCCAACAGAGAGTCGAACAGTTTTGTGTCCACTTTCTCGCATCCCATTCCCTCCCTTTCCCTCTCTCTCTCTCTCTCTCTCCTAAACTAATGGCAAAAACTATTTAATAACAACTGAATTGTAAAACTTGTAATTAAAGTCTGAATTGATTTTCTCTATGATTTTATAGCCAAACAAATTCTATTCATTTCTATAATAATTGATATTTTGTTTATTAGTTTATATTTAATGATAACAATTATGCGAAAAGTTTTTACGAGTTTTAAAAGCGATTTTATTTCATAAACTTATTTTGAAAGAATGTTTGTATTGTAGATATAATGGACAACAAAATTGTTATTCTATAGCATTATATTGTGAACTCTTTTTATGCTATATATGCCATGAATTCGTAATAAAATCCACGTTTTAATCATTGATTGTTTTGACAATTTTATTAATTTTAAAATCTGTACACAATTATCATACAAATAATTGACTGAATTGAATATAAGGCACAAAGTGGTGGCGTTTCCATAAAAGTATACATCGTTTCATCACTAACTCGTGAATCAAGTGGTTAAGTCACACACTATTACTATTACTAGTAGTAGCATTGCCCTGATCATCATGACCCTGATCATCATGGCTACCGGTGCGGGTTATAGACATATAGTACAGGTCCTAAACTTTCTAAAAAAGTTTCCAATAAATGAAACTTCATGTAAATAATTGTCTATGCTACTCCATGTTAATACACAATTAACAGTTAAATGAAAGATTACTAACATTTATTAAGCTAGGTAATATTATACTGTATAGGTTGTGATCAGAGACAAATGAAATAAATTGCTTCAATAAATGCATACCTCGATGAGTTCTTTACGCTGACAGTCGGAGTCAAATAATGGCTCAACTATGAGCACCCGGTGCTCATTGGACTCCACGTGCAGTTTGTGACACATCTCTTCTAACCTCTCATTCAATGGATTATTTGTCGCCAGAATTAAGGGGTCTTTTTGACCGACACCTCCAGCTTTGCAGACACCGGTGCCCACGACTAATACCACAGACTTCATGGAAAGTGATATTTTAAAGAAATGATAATAACTTAAATGTTTAGACAATTATAACTTATAAGTAATTCACTGATTGTCATACAATTGGTAAAGTTATCACATTTTGTAGCCCTTTTATACTCGTATCTATACGTAGGCATTCTAATGCCTACAATTGATAAATGTTTTAACATTTGATTATAAGCTTATTTTCTAATTGTATGCCAATCCCGTGATTTTTAGTGAGAGTTCATGTCAATTTAATCGCAATATTGTAAAGTTGTATTCAATTTGCACCTAGATTTTATCAGGTTAACCTTATTTGACGCTAGTTTACAGTAATTTTTTTGTTAGACTACAGGTGCTCTTAAATATAATACATTAAACTTGACATTAATATGATGTTAGACCTGAAGATGGAGAGCAAAGTATCACAGAATCGGTTCAATACTTATGCATACAATCGCTGTTCGCTGGAAAATAGCCATCAGTTTGTCTCCAATTATCAACTATTGGACACCTTTTTAGGGAACCCTTATCTAAGCCTTCATTTGTGCTAATGTTAGCACTAATTAACATATTGTCAGCTAATTATCAATTGATTTACTTATTGATACTTATTTCACATAAAACTTTAGCCAACAGTAAGGGGAATGGGATGTGGAGTTTGTGCGCACATGTATTGCAGTCATAATACAAATGCTTTTCCACCAGAATATTCGTTATGAACAGTGAGTGCCAGTCCAGGGCTGGTATGTTATGTTGGGTTTGTGTCGGAGTGAAGATTCACTTCATTTAAGTTCACAAAACTTTGTTGTTTTCTCTTGTTTTTGAGATATATCTATGCATACAATCAAAGGCTTTCCAATGGCTTTCACTCGAAATATATTCATTAAAACAACGGATTATTTATGAAATGATAAGTGAGTGATAAGTGTCTATAAAATGTGTGTTATTTCGTTGAAATTATTTTGACCACATTTGAGAGACAAACGACTCACTGATTGGATGATAATATAAGCAATGAATCGATTGTCGTTTGGCTTTTCATTGAATTTATTTTCTGATAAGTAATTAATAATAAGTTTTTTCATAAAATGAATGCAAAACTGTTTTGACAGCAAATCACTGTCTGTTTGTCGCAATCAATTCATCTCAAAGTTATGCCTCATATTTGATGCCAACAGAGAGTCCAACAGTTTTGTGTCCACTTTCTCGCATCCCATTCCCTCCCTTTCCCTCTCTCTCCTAAACTAATGGCAAAAACTATTTAATAACAACTGAATTGTAAACTTGTAATTAAAGTCTGAATTGATTTTCTCTATAATTTTATAGCCAAACAAATTCTATTCATTTCTATAATAATTGATTTTTTGTTTATTAGTTTATATTTAATGATAACAATAATTATGCGAAAAGTTTTTACGAGTTTTAAAAGCGATTTGATTTCATAAACTTTTATTTTGAAAGAATGTTTGTATTGTAGATATAATGGACAACAAAATTGTTATTCTATAGCATTATATTGTGAACTCTTTTTATGCTATATATGCCATGAATTCGTAATAAAATCCACGGTTTAATCATTGATTGTTTTGACAATTTTATTAATTTTAAAATCTGTACACAATTATCGTACAAATAATTGACTCAATTCAATATAAGGCACAAAGTGGTGGCGTTTCCATAAAAGTATACATCGTTTCATCACTAACTCGTGAATCAAATGGTTAAGTCACACACTATTACTATTACTAGTAGTAGCATTGCCCTGATCATCATGACCCTGATCATCATGGCTACCGGTGCGGGTTATAGACATATAGTACAGGTCCTAAACTTTCTAAAAAAGTTTCCAATAAATGAAACTTCATATAAATAATTGTCTATGCTATTCCATGTTAATACACAATTAACAGTTCAATGAGATTACTAACATTTATTAAGCTAGGTAATATTATACTGTATAATCTATAGGTTGTGATGAAAGACAAATGAAATAAATTGCTTCAATAAATGCATACTTCGATCAGTTCTTTACGCTGACAGTCGGAGTGAAATAATGGCTCAACTGTGAGCACCCGGTGCTCATTGGACTCCACGTGCAGTTTGTGACACATCTCTTCTAACCACTCATTCAATGGATTATTTGTCGCCAGAATTAAGCGGTCTTTTTGACCGACACCTCCAGCTTTCCAGACACCGGTGCCCACGACTAATACCACGACTAATACCACGACTAATACCACAGACTTTATGGAAAGTGATTTTGTGAGAGTTAATGTCAATTTAATGTTAATATTGTCAAGTTGTATTCAATTTGCACCTAGATTTGATCAGGTGAACCTTATTTGACGCTAGTTTACAGTAATTTTTCCGTTAGACTACAGGTGCTCTTCAATATAATACATTAAACTTGACATTAATATGATGTTAGACCTGAAGATGGAGAGCAAAGTATCACAGAATCGGTTCAATACTTATGCATACAATCGCTGTTCGCTGGAAAATAGCCATCAGTTTGTCTCCAATTATCAACTATTGGACACCTTNCAGAATCGGTTCAATACTTATGCATACAATCGCTGTTCGCTGGAAAATAGCCATCAGTTTGTCTCCAATTATCAACTATTGGACACCTTTTTAGGGAACCCTTATCTAAGCCTTCATTTGTGCTAATCTTATCACTAATTAACATATTGTCAGCTAATTATCAATTCATTTACTTATTCATACTTATTTCACATCAAACTTTAGCCAACAGTAAGGGCAATGGGATGTGGAGTTTGTGCGCACATGTATTGCAGTCATCATACAAATACTTTTCCACCAGAATATTCGTTATGAACAGTGAGTGCCAGTCCAGGGCTGGTATGTTATGTTGGGTTTGTGTCGGAGTGAAGATTCACTTGATTTAAGTTAAGTTCACAAAACTTTGTTGTTTTCTCTTATTTTTGAGATATATCTATGCATACAATCAAAGGCTTTCCAATGGCTTTCACTCGAAATATATTCATTAAAACAACGGATTATTTATGAAATGATAAGTGAGTGATAAGTGTCTATAAAATGTGTGTTATTTTTGAGATATATCTATGCATACAATCAAAGGCTTTCCAATGGCTTTCACTCGAAATATATTCATTAAAACAACGGATTATTTATGAAATGATAAGTGAGTGATAAGTGTCTATAAAATGTGTGTTTGAAAAGTGCTTTCTCTCTCACTTTTTGGTTATTAACTACTTTTGTGAAGCGATTTATGAGAAAACTCTTTAGGAAAATAAGTCATAAGAAAAAACAATTCAATTGTTATTTTTATGCCAAACGTATCGCACGAATCGACTGTTAAATAAAATTTAGAGTGTATTTAGAGTTACAATCAACTAATCATTAAAAATGATCTTGGCATTCATTGGCGATAGTGTTGTATCAGAAAGTTGTGATGCATTTACAACTCGCGTTACGAATAGTTTTGCGGCTATTATTGGGCTATACTTTAGTGAATTATCGCTATTAATAAGTTTATCCAGGCCAACATTCCCAGTGATTATATCCGTATAAATATAGCGTAAGTGTGTGAACACATCCCGGGGCCTAATGTTTAGACCGAAACAGCGCTACCATTACGACGAGACTGCCATCGAAATGGGTTGTGTCTCCAAACTCAGTGATACCGCCATCGATAGAATTGGAGGTTTGCCTACCATTTCGTATTAGGATTATTAGCCTTACATAAGAATATTCTGTGACATTCATTATGAAAATGTGTTTTAACCCTAAAAATAGTGTCATATTTTATTTAGAAGTAGTTCTGTATGGGATTAATCTGAATTTATCGACAATATCATACAATTATTAAATTAAGTTGATTTTAAATTAAGTTTACTTTGGATGATAACAGTAAATATAGATTAATATGATTTCTGCTTATAGTTTATACAGTATACATACAAAATTGCAAATAGTACAATCTTTTTATAACAATAACTATTTAATAGTAATAAATTAATTAATGATATTTACTGTATTAAGTTACTTTTTTATCAATAGTGTTGATTAATAAAACATTTTAGATAAACATTTTAAATATTGATTATTTTAACAATAGCTTACATTTAATTTTTGTGTGTAGATTTACATATTTAAATAAAACTCAATGAACTAAACATTCATTACAATGTATTTCATTAATACTATATAAAGTTTAGTGATAATTATTATTTATGAGTGATTTAATATATATCAATTATAAAATTAATTTTAATATGAGATTGGACCTATGATTAAGCACTTTAATATTAATTAAACCTCATTAAATATAAGATTCAATAAAACTATGGTTTAACATTTGTGAAGAATTTGCAGTTTATTAAAAAATTTCAATTATTGATTAATGTATTTTCAATACAAGTCTCATAACATGGGAGTCAATAATTTTATCTAAATTTTAAAATCATTTATTTTGTGTGAAAATTATTTCTGAACAACTTGTGGGAGACATTCAATCGATTAAATTCTTATACAATGAATATATAAGAATAGAAAACGGTTTAAAAGCAGTGAAAATATTCAGTGAACAAGTAATTAAAATTCCAAGTCTTATAAATAAACAATTCTATAGTCCTATAGATATTTAGATAAATATTCTGTGCATTCAATGTCAGAATGAATATCGATTTAAAATAAATAAAAAATATTTAAAAATCAATTAATTTTCACGATTTTCTTGATTTTTTTCTAAAATATTAAGTTAAAAAAACAATTAGAGTTATCACCCGCATCTAGTATTTTATAAAAATATTATTATAACTAAGTATTTTAATGAAAAATAATTATATAGGAATTTAACTATCGTTCTTTAGCTTGCAGTTCAGTACATGTTGCATTGTTTGTACAAATAACATTTTCATTACTACTTGTGTTAATTATTTGAGTAATTAATACGAAAACTCTTAAGTCAACTGAATATAAATGCATTTGATATATACTTAACGGCAACAAAAGGTTTTTAATTATATGCTAAAAATAATACAAACCTTACACGTGAGAGACCTTATATGTGATACGAGAATCGATAAAAATGTTTTTAATCTTTTTTGAATATTTGAAATATTTTGTGATTTCATATGAAAAAAATTGGATTCAATTTTCAAGAATATTCAATCAAATATCGCGAACTTTATTCAATTTATATGTTATTTTCAAACCATTTAATTAATCTTTTTTGAATATTTGAAATATTTTGTGATTTCATATGAAAAAAATTGGATTCAATTTTCAAGAATATTCAATCAAATATCGCGAACTTTATTCAATTTATATGTTATTTTCAAACCATTTATGAAATACGAATATATTGTGTGCTATTCTCTGTCTCTCTTTACGGCTAGAATTCAATACATGTTTGACTCTATTCTCAGAATATTCTCTCATTTGAGGCGATATCCGAGTGACTGGTATTGAAATTGCAATCAATTTATAAAATAGATAATGTTTTCTAAATACCAAATGTTATAAATTCATAGTTAACACAGACTTTACGTTTTTTTGTACAATAGTATTCTATAAAACCATATTTAATAGATAAAATTTAAAATGTGTATTATTAAACTCATTAAATGAAAAGAAATTGTTTAGTGGAAATTAAACTGCTTTTGACTTAACACGAGTTGACATTTAAATGCAATTAATTATAAAGTCACAGAGACGTTGTTATCTATTTAAGTTTAATATTATTATATTTTTAAAATTATATATTCAATTATACTAAATATTACAGAAGTTTTACTTGACATTCTCAGAATCGTAACCAAATATAACAGAAAACAATTTATTTTAAAGAATCTCTAAAAACGAAATAAAATATTAATAAAAAGTATTTTTAATAAAATGCATATTAGAGTCGACAACATATTCGTGGGATTTAAACGAAGAGACGACACCAGAAATGGAGCTAAAATGGGACAGACATGCGAAGCCAGGGGAAGGGGGTCTATGCAAGCGGCCATCCATTCGCAGTATCGCCTCCAACGACAACAGTTCTGTGAGTCAACCGGAAAGGCATATAAGAATACCGGCCAACGATAGCGGCAGTGCCCGGAATCGGCGAAACAACTCGCAGTCCGGCAACAATACCGGTGCCAGCGATGAGCTTCCGTACGAGGCATATATGCCGGTCTCCCTGTATTGCATGAGCCAGACGTCGGCGCCCAGGAGCTGGTGTTTAGCCATGATTTCCAATCCATATCCTTTTCAAACGCCTAACACTATTATATCAATATATAAACCAATATATGAGATATGAATCGCTATAACGGTATGTCTTATTGTATTTTATCTTATTTTTGGCTTCAATTATACCAAACATTTCTCTGAGTCTGCGAATGAAAGCCGTGAATATTATTCATAAGTTTGTGACTAAAAAATAAGTTTTCAATCATTGAATTGAAAATAAATATTAAACAT